GTTTAGATAGATGCAGATCGTGCAGCAAAACAGAATAAGGAAAGGTAGGGGGGCCGAAGGCGTTCCATACCTCTAAACCCCAAATACCTGATGCTCTCTGCGAGAGAAATAGATTTGTTTCCTCCATGTGACAACCAAAAGATGCATTTATTGCTGCTGCTGATATAGAACGAATGCTGCTGCTGCTGCTGCTGCTGCTGCTGCTGCTGCTGCTGCTGCTGGGGGTGTTGCTGGGGTTGCTGGGGGTAGTTGTACCGCTTTCTAGACTGTTCTGGTTCCAAAGTTGTTGCTGCTGCTGCTGCTGACGACGTTGCTGCTGCTGCTGCTGCTGCTGTTGCTGCTGCTGCTGCTGCAGCTGCTGCTGCAGCTGCTGCAGTGATGGTGCTTCTAGGGAGTTTGCGTGTTTTAAGTAAACCTGCAGAGCTTGGTTGTTTCTGTATGCAGCAGCAATAACAGAAGTATCAAATTTCGGTGCAACAAACTCATGCATACTGCTGCTGCTGCTGCTGCTGCTGCTGCTGCTGCTGTTGCTGTTGCGGCTGCGAGAAGCAGCAAACAACACAGGAGGAGGAGGCGGCAAACGCATTTCGTCCTGAAACCAAAAACCCTGTAGGCTGCTGCCCTCCATATAAGATACACGATATGCACAACTGCAGCAGCAGCAGCAGCAGCAGCAGCAGAAGCAGCAGCAGCAGCAGCAGCAGCAGCGGGGGTGGGAGCAGCAGCAGGAGCAGGCGCAATAGCAGCAGATAGAGGCAACAGCGAGAGCAGCAGATAGACACAACAGCAACAGCAACAGCAGCAACAGCAGCAGCAACAGCAGCAGCAGCAGCAGCAGCAGCAGACACACAGAGACAGAAAATGTTTGGTTTGTTGCTGCTGCAGTTTTTATTTTTTTGCTGCTAGTTTATGTAGTGGTGCTGCTGTATAACAATAAAAATAAAAATAATAAAATAAAAAAAAAAAATAAATAAAATATAAAATAAAATAAAATAAAATAAAATAAAATAAAATAAAAAATAAAAAAAACAAATTGGTTAATATAATTAATTAAATATAATAAATAGGATTTCTGTATATCAATAAATAAAAAAAAAATAAAATAAATAAACAAAATAAATAAAATAAAATAAATAAACAAAATAAATAAATTAATTAAATAAAATAAACAAAATAAATAAAATAAAAAACTAAATAAAATAAAATAAATAAATAAAATAAAATAAATTAAATAAATAAATTAAAATATATATTTTACTGTTTATGATGAATATCACAAAAGGAGCAGCCGCTGCTGCACGGGGTGTATGCACAGGTCATACATAAAAAAAAAAAAAAACAAAATAGAGAACTAAACAAAATAAATAAATAAAATAAATATAAATATATTTTAATTTATTTAATTTATTTATTTTATTTATTTTATTTATTTATATTTACTGTTTATGATGAATATCACAAAAGGAGCAGCCGCTGCTGCACGGGGTGTATGCGCAGGTCGGGCTCTTCTGGCAGCTAAAAGGCAAATCTATGTGCTTGCCGCACGTCCTATAAAAAAAA